ATTGCAGAATTGCAAACTTTTTTCCCCCTGGCTTATAACATTTTTTCAAGATTTGGCTCTAACATAAACATTTCTATTARTTAAAATTGTGTGTGTATATAAACAGGAGAAAACCCAGTTTAACAATGGCTTCACAAAATAGTGTATTTATTTCACATATAAGGAGTCTCATGTTGATTACTCTAGAACTAGTGCACTAGCCCTGAAGCATTAGGGACTCAGGTGCTTGTCATTTTTCATTACTACATTTTGTACATGAGCTACCTTCTGCTCCTCCTCCTTTGGGGTGCTACAGTCACTGCTATACTATGTGATTATTACAATTTTAATACTAAATTCTGTATTGTTGAAGTTTTCTTTTTAGAACAATCTGAGTTATTTGGATTCATTATAATAAATATGCTGGAAAGTTGTCAAATAATAAAATAATCATGTAATTTCCTAGGAAAAGAACAATCAACAGTCTGAATTTACCACTGAAAACTTGTTAACCACTGTAACTGATGTGTTTGGAGCGGGAACAGAGACAACAAGCACCACTATGAGATATGGACTTTTGCTCCTGCTAAAGCATACAGATATCACAGGTATGACCACATACAGTGAGCAGGGTGAATTTCAGAAAGATGTGAAGACACTGATAGTGTCCTCTATCTTGGGTCTCTGAGAAGCTCCAGTATTGAAATTTCTGTGTCACTAGCTATAATTTGTGCAAATATAATGAAAGCATAATAATAAGATAATTTTTCAAAATAGGAGTGACAGAGAGAAGGGGTGAACAGAAGCAAATTCCAAGGTCCTTACCTCCGTCTCCATTATGCTTCTGAAATTCAGCAGCCCAAACTCTAGAGAAAGAGTAGTGCCAGAGGAAAGACCTCTCTCTCTCTCTCTCTCTCTCTCTCTCTCTCTCTCTCTTTGCCATCTATAAAGAAAATGCTCATTGAATGTCCAGAAAAGGGAATGTAATGAAAATATCCACCCATGGAATTTCAGAACACTACACTTAAGGGAGAAATTACCAATACTTTCAGAGATAAATCAAGTAATATATAAAGATTAAGAATCAAAATGGTATTAAAATTCTCACAAGTAGCTGTCGGCTTGTGTACTCATAGGCAAAGGATAGCTTCGTATTTACAAGTTGATGAAAAAATTTACTCTCCAGTTTTCTTTTACTCTGATGGTTATTTTCTTTGCTGTGTAGAATTTTTATTTTGATATCATCTCATTTGTCTATTTTTGCTTTTGTTTTCTGTTCCTTTGTGGTCTTGTCCAAAAAATCCTTGCCAATTCTGATGTTCTAAAACATTTTCCTTGTGTTTTCTTCTAGTAATTTCATAGTTTCAGGTCTTATATTTAAGTCTTTAATCCATATTGAGTTGAATTTTGTAAATAACGAGAGATACAGGTCTAGTTTCAGTCTGTGGCANTACTCATAGGCAAAGGATAGCTTCGTATTTACAAGTTGATGAAAAAATTTACTCTCCAGTTTTCTTTTACTCTGATGGTTATTTTCTTTGCTGTGTAGAATTTTTATTTTGATATCATCTCATTTGTCTATTTTTGCTTTTGTTTTCTGTTCCTTTGTGGTCTTGTCCAAAAAATCCTTGCCAATTCTGATGTTCTAAAACATTTTCCTTGTGTTTTCTTCTAGTAATTTCATAGTTTCAGGTCTTATATTTAAGTCTTTAATCCATATTGAGTTGAATTTTGTAAATAACGAGAGATACAGGTCTAGTTTCAGTCTGTGGCATATGGATACCCAATTTKTATTTATTGAGAAGACTGTCTTTTTTCCAATGATTGTTCTTAGCAGCTCTGTGAAAAATCAGTTGACTGTAGATGAATGAGTTTACTTCTAAGATGTTTATTCCATTTATTGGTCTCTGTGTCTGTTTTCATGCCAATACCACACTGTTTGGTTCCTTCAGTCATGTAGTATATTTTGAATTCGGACAGTGTAATGCTTCCTGTTCTTGCTTAAGATKACTTTGTTGCCAGGTGCTGGGCGTGGTGGTGCACACCTGTAATCCCAGAAGTTTGGGAGGCTGATAAGGAGGATTGTGAGTTCAAAGCCAGCTTCAGCAACAGAAAGGAGGTGGAGGCAGGAAGATTGTGAGTTCAACAGAAGCCTCAGCAAAATTGATGTTCGAAGTAACTCAGTGAGACCCTGTCTCTAAATCAAACACAAAATGGGGCTGATGATGTGGCTTGGTGGTTGAGTGCCCCTGAGTTTAATCTCCAGTACCCTCTCCCTCCCCCAAAAGATTATTTTGGCTATTCAGGGTGTTTGAGTGTGTGTGTGTGTGTGTATCCATTCAAATTTTAGGCTTGTTTTTTTCTAAAAAGATCACCACTGGTGTTTTCATAGGGACTGCACTAAACTTGTAGATTGCTTTGGGTACTATGACATTTAAAAATTTCTGATTCTTCTAATCCATGAACACAGAATGTCTTTCCATTTTTTTGTGTGTCCTTTTCAATTCTTTTCATCAATGTCTTATAGTTTTCATTGTATAGATCTTTTACCTTTTCAGTTAAATTTATTCCTAGATATTTTGTTTATTTTTTTGAAGCTATTGTAAGTGGAATTTCTTTCTTGCTTTTTATTTCGGATAATTTACTATTGGCATATAGCCGCGCTACTGATTTTTGTGTTTTGTATCCTACAACCTTGTTTAATTCATTTTTTTCTAACTTTTGCTTTTTTGTGTGTGGAATCTTTGGGTTTTCTGTGTGTGAGATCATGTTATCTGCAAACGGTGATAATTAGAAAATTAGAATTCCCTTTTCCAACTTGGAGGACATTTCTTTCTTTCTCTTGCTTGAATGATCTGGCTAGGACTTTTAGTAYGATGTTGAAAAGTGACAAGTAGGTATTCTTGTCTTATGCCAGATCTTAGAAACATTCAGMTTTTCCTCATTCATTGTCATGAAGTATAACTGAGATGATCATATGGTTTTAATTCTTTGTTGTGCTGATATTTTGTTTCATATCATTGATTTGCAAATACTGAATCATATTTGCTTCTCTGAATCCCACTTGATCATGGTGAATAATCTTTTAAACATGCTTTTGGATTCTGTTTGCTAGTATGCTGTTGAGGATTTTCAGATCTTTGTTCATCAAGAATATTACTTGTAGTTTTTTTTTTTTTAATGTACCCTTGTCAGATTTTGGTATTAGGGTAATGCTATCCTTGTAAAAGATGCTTGGAGAAATTCTTTCCTCTTCAATGTTTGGGAACAAATTAAGAATTATCGAACATCTTTAAGTGTTTGGTAGAACTAGCAGTGAAATCATCTGATTCTGAGTTTCTCTTTGATGGGGGACTTTTTAATTGTGGATTCAATCTGGTTACTTTTTATAGGTCTACTTAGGTTTTCTATTTTTTCAAGATTCAATGTTGGTAAGATGTATAGGTCCAGAAATTTGTCCAATTGTTTTTTTNTTTTTATATTTCTGTGATGTCAGTTGTGATGTCTCCCTTTTCATCTTTGTTTTTATTTATTTGTGTCTTTGTTCTCTTTTTGTTAGACTATCTCAGAGTTTTTCAACTTCTTCTTTTTGAAGAATTAGATTTTTGTTTCATTGATCCTTGTCATTTTTTAAGTCTCTATGTATTTCTGCTCTGATCTTTATTCTTTGTTTTCCTAATTTTGGATTTTGTTTGTTCTTGKTTTTCTAGTTCCTTGAGATGCAATAGTAGGCTGTTTATTTGAGTTTTTTTCTGATTTAAAAAGAATTTATTGGTTCATAATAATTATATACATAATAGTGGGATTCTTCATGCCATATGTATGTGCACACAATGTAATTTGATCAATATTATTCCCCAGTGTCTTTATTTTTCTTTCCCCCCTCTTTTCCTGATTTGCTTGCTCTATTCTACTGATATCCATTTATTATTATTATTATTATTATTATTTTGGTAGTGGGATTTGAACCCAGAGGCACTTTACCACAGAGCAACATCCCTACTCCATTTTATTTTTTATTTTTGAGACAGAGTCTTGTTAAGTTACTGAAGCTGGCTTTGAACTTGTGATCCTCCTGCCTCATTCTCTAGAGTTGCTGGGATTATAGGTGTGCACCTTGTGTCCAGCATCCCTCCTATTTCTTTCTGATTGATTAATGTAGATATTGGTTGTTATAAACATTTAATTTGTTTAAAGAAATTTTATTTCCCTTTGATTTCACCCTTGACCCATTGGTTGTTCAACAGTAAGTTATTTAATTTCCATTTATTTATATAATTTTGAAAGTTTTGATTAGTATGAACTGAAATGCATTCTGCTGTCATGTATAACAAATTAGAACAAATTAATAAATTAATTAATAAAAAATCAGAAAAATATGCTAGTAAAAAAAAACTCTACATGTGCTCTCCATTTATCCTCACATTTAAAATTCTTGATGTCCCTTTTTATGTCTTTCTATGTTTTTATTTTCTCACAAAGATACTAGAGGTTATTCTTTATCCAAATATCTGAAATCAAGTGAACTAAAGTAATAGGCTCCAGGAATCAGAATAACTCATATACAAAGATGGGAGTGTGCTGGGCCCCAGGTCGAGGGAGTAGCCACTTCAGGATGGACAAGGTGATACTATAGGTGGGAAGGGAGTCGGTTTGATTTGATGCATTTTGCTCAGAATGTTTGTATTTATTGTATTAGTTTGATATGAAATTAATTCTTTTTTATTATTTTACTTTTTTATGTATTCATTCATTTAAAAATTTTTTTATATGGTGCTAAGATTTGAACCCAGTACCTCACCCATGCTAGGCAAGCACTCTGCCACTGAGCTACAGCCCTAGCCCATGAAATTAATTCTTATTTTGTGTTTTTTTTCCTGCAAGGACAGTAATTTCTTCAGTTCATGTGCTAATTATTTATATAATTCAAGTTATTTTTTCATTTCTATTTTTATTGTTATCTTATATGTTATTGTGAATGTGTTTACAGATTTGTCTTAATGCCTACATTGGAAGAGAGTTGTTGTGTACCTGTTAAAGCACATCTAGATATAATTATGGCTTTATAATGCTGTTGGTACACCATTATGCTTCCTGTAGTCCTGAAATGTTATGACAAATATGCCATTTTCTCCTTTTCCTTCAATTCTTAATTTTGTCTTTTCAGCTAAAGTCCAAGAAGAGATTGACCAAGTGATTGGCAGACACCGCAGCCCTTGCATGCAGGACAGGAGCCGCATGCCCTACACAGAGGCTGTGTTACACGAGATCCAGAGATACATTGATCTCATCCCCACCAATCTGCCCCATGCAGTGACCTGTGATGTTAAATTTAGAAACTACTTCATCCCCAAGGTGAGCTTGTCTCTTACACTGTGCTTCAATGCTCTTCAAGTTCCCAATTTTAGTGTATGTTTCKGATCCTTTATCAACACTAGATGAGGTAAGTGCAAAACTCATATGTGTGGCAGCTAATTAAACTTCTGTTATCAGTTTGGGTTTCTAAAGTTATATAACAAGTCTTGWTTTGTGTCTTAAAACTTTTTCTATTAATTTTTTGGCTGCACTTAGGTGTTCACATTTCAAAATATGTATCAAAAGTATGAATTTGTCGATTTCCCAAAACATGTTTGCTTATTTATTAGTGACATTAAATCTATCAATACGTTTGGAAAGCATGTTTTGATGTGTTGAAGTTTTCAATTCATGGATATAATTATGCTCCCAATTCATTTAAGCTTTCTTTAGTTTTCTCAATATTGTTCTGTTTTCAATGCAGTGGCTTTCCTATCTTCCTTTTYCCCAAAATAAATGATATTTTTGATGTTAATGTGACTTGTATACTTTTAAAAATACTTTCTTTATTTCTTTGTTTCTGGCATATGGAGATATAATTTACATGAGAGGACTTTACATCTAGAAACCTTGCTAGATTCACTTATCATTGCTAACAATTTGTAGATTGATTTATAATTTTAGTGTATAGGATTCTGTGATCTGGTTAATATTTGTTTTATTTGCCCTATTCTTTTACTTTTATGCCTTCTTTTTAATCAAAATGCATGTACAATTTGATCAAATATATTTTCTATATCTGTCAATATTGTCATATATTTGGCCTGCCTGTACATATAGAATAACTTTGCAGGTATTTGTGTTTGTATGTATTTTAAAAATACAAACACAAATACCTGCAAAGTTATTTATTTTATTTTAAAAATACGTATACCCACAGCTAAGTTTGAATTGCTACATTTTGCTCAGGGTATTTGTGTTTATATTTATCAGAGACATTAGTCTCCAATATTTTTTTTCTCAAATTTTCTTTTTCAAATTTTTGGCATTAGGATAGTGATGGCTTCACAAATAAGGTAGTTAATGTTCCCTGCTGTGGCTATATTTGATTGCCTTTACTTCATTACGTGTACTTTTTTTGTGTTSGTTTGCTTTGGAATGCCAATATGTTTTGTTTTGGTGTCAATTATTACATTTGAACAAATGCAGAATCTTAGATGAGGTTTATTTGGTCATAAAGTATTTGTCTCTCCTCCACTCAGCAGATGAATTCTTCCCTTCTTGCAGAATATGAAAAATTGTCTGTAGCCATTAGCTAACCTTTCTTATCAAGTGGGGTGTATTCCAGGAATGTAAGGATGGTTCAATATATAATCAATAAATGTAATACATCATATCAACAAAATGAAGGACAAAAAAACCATATGATTTTCTCAATAGGTACAGAAAAGCCTTTGATAAAATTCAACATCCTCTTATAATCAAAAGCCCTCAACAAATTAGATAAAGAATGAATGTATGTCAGCATAATAGAGGCTAAATATGACAGATCCACAACCAACATCATATCGAATGAGGAAGACCTGAAATCATGTCCCATAAGATCAGGATGCCTGCTTTTGCTATTCTTAGTCAACATAGCTGAGAGCAATGTCAGCAAGAGGAAGACAGGCATCCAAATAATAAGAAGAGGTCAAATTATCCTCTGTTTGTAGATATGATTTTATATATARAAAAATCTAAAAAGCTCCAATTAGAACTGACAAATAAATTCAGAAAAGTTGCAGGATAAAAATGAACATACAAAAATCATATACATATATGATATATTATATTGCATATATGTGCATTTATATATTTATGCACCTATTTTTAGGTGAATTATGTGTATAAAAAACTGGACTGATTTCTAAACTATATGAACCTTTCACAAAAGAAGTTTTGATAGTGGAATTATATCAAACTAAAAGCTTCTCTTCAGCCAAGAAAATCATTAACAGAGTGAGGAAACAAACAGTAGAGAAAGTATTTGCAAACTATTTGTTCAGTAAGGGATTAATATTCAGAATATGAACTTGTGATCCTCCTGCCTCAGCCTCCTAAGCTGCTGGGATTACAGTCTGGCTCTTATTGCTGTATCTTAAGTTTGCTCCTTTTTATTTTGAATGGGATTCCATAAGGAGTATCAAACATTGGTTATCAGTTTGAAGTTCAATAATTGATGGACATTTTGTATATTTCCAGTTTTTAACTACTTGACTACAGGTGCTATGYACATTTGCATGCAGGTTCTTATGTGGACATGTTTTCCTTTCTACTGGAGAATACTTAGGAATGGGATTTTTTGCTTACGTGGTTACTTTAGGCCAAACCACCAAATGGTCTTGTGATGTGGCTGTGATGTTTTAAATCTCCCTTCCAGGTATCCYACACCCCTTGTCGTTGTTAGTCTTTTTGTATTTTGGCCACTGCAGTGGTACCACATTTTGTTTTCCCTTCTATTTTCTTCATAGATAATGTTGGCTTCTTCTCATGTGTTGATTGGCCATTCATATATCTTATTTGTTAATGTGTCTGCTCAAATTATATGCCTATTTTTTATTGGGTTGTTTATATTCCTATTTTTAAGGTTTTTTTTTTTAAATTAAAAGCTCATTATGGTAGATAAGTTTTGCAATTATTTATTCCCAGTCTGTGTGACTTTTGTTTTAATTCCTTTTCTTTCTTCGGGGGTGGGGGGGTTGGGGGGCTGGGGTTGTGGCTCAGCAGTAGAACACTTGCCTAGCACTACATAAAAATAAATAAGAGAAATAAAGGTATTGTGTCAAACTACAACTAAAAAATAAATTTTTTTAAAAGGAATGTCTTCAGGGACTGGGTAGAGCTCAGCAGTAGAGCTCTTGCCTAGGATGTGTGAGGCCCTGGGTTGGATCCTCAGCACCACATAAAAATAAATAAATAAAAGTATTGTGTCCAACTACAACTAAAAAATAAATATATATATATATATTTTAAAAAGAGCAGAAGATATATAATTTTATGGAGTACAATTCGTCAATAACTTCTTTTATGATTTATGCTTTTGTGTCCTATCTAAAATATTATTTACTCTTTGCCATTTTCTTTAAGTTTTATAGTTTTAACTATTACATTTAGGTCTATGTATCTTTAAAAGTTCATTTTTATTTATGCTGTGAAGTAATGATGTCCGTCACTTCTTTTTATGAATAGCCAATTGTCTCAGCATTATTTGCTGAAAATATATCTCATTTTGTATTTTTAAGTAACATTTATCACAAATTATTTTTTGAAATGTATAAGAATAAATTTAGACAAGTATGTGAAAGTGGTTTTCTTTTTTCAATTTTAATTTTTAAAAAAATTTTAAATATTATTTTAATTTTTAATAATAAACCAACTGTGCTAAAAATCTCCACCCATTTATTAAATCTTCTTCCTTTTTTTGATCCCAGCTGTTTTGCATTGTGTTTTTATAGATGTGGGAGTCTTTTTTTTGATTTTCATTTTGATTCAAAACATATCTCAGTAGCAATATCTTAATCACAGTACCTTCATAGTAAGTCTTGATAACTGGAAAAAAGTCTCACATTATTCAAAATATTCTTGATTGTCCTTGGTTTTTTGTTCTTCCATATATATTTAGAATCAGTTTATCAGCTCTTCAAAAAGCTCAGTGAAGCTGGGTATAATGGTGCACATCTGTAATCTCAGGGGCTCAGAAGGCTGCGGCAGGAGGATTGTGAGTTCAAAGCCAGCCTCAGGAACTTAGCAAGGTCCTAAGTAACTTAGTGAGACCCTGTCTCTAAATAAGGTATTAAAAAAGGGTTTGGGGATGTGGCTCAGTGGTTAAGTGCCCCTGGGTTCAATACCCAATGCAAAAAAGAAAAAAAAAATAGAAAGAGAGAGAGAAAGAAAGAAGAAAGAAAAAGAAAAAAAGCTTGGTGGATATTTTTGGTGAAATTGCATTTAACACTAATATTTAATATTTTGGGGAAGAATTCCCATTTTTCTTTTTTTAAATTTTTTATTCTAATTTTTTATATATGACAGCAGAATGCATTACAATTCATATTACACATATAGAGCAAAATTTTTCATATCTATGGTTTCATATTTATGGTTGTATACAAAGTATATTCACACCATTTGTGTCTTCACACATGTACTTTCATCTCATTCCATTGTCTTTTCTACCCCCATGCTCCCTCCCTTCCCCTCCCACCCCTTTGCTCTACCTAGAGTTTGTCTAATCCTCCCATGCTCTCTCTTCCAACCCAATTATGAATCAGCCTCCTTATATCAGAGAAAACATTCGGCATTTGTTTTTTTTTTTGGGGGGGGGGGTTTGGCTAACTTCACTTAGCATTATTTTCTCCAATTCCATCCATTTACCTGCAAATGCCATGATTTTATTCTCTTTTATTGCTGAGTAGTATTCCATTGTGTGTATGTACATACACATATGTACTTTATCCATTCATCTACTGAAGGGCATCTATGTTGGTTCCACAGTTTAGCTATAGTGAACTGTGCTGCTACACACATTGATGCGGCTGTGTTCCTGTAGTATGCTGTTTTTAAGTCCTTTGGGTATAGACCAAGGAGTGGGATAGCTGGATCAACAGGTGGTTCCAGGGCTGGGGTTATGGCTCAGCGGTAGAGCACTTGCCTTGATCCTCAGCAACACATAAAAATAAATAAGTGAAATAAAGGTATTGTGTCCAACTACAACTAAAAAATAAATACTTAAAAAAAGGTGGTTCCATTCCCAGTTTTCCAAGGAGTCTCCATATTGCTTTCCATATTGGCTGCACCATTTTGCAGTCTCACCAACAATATATGTGCATGCCTTTTCCCCGACATTCTTGCCAACACTTATTGTTGTTTATATTCTTATTAGCAGTCATTCTGACTGGAGTGAGTTGAAATCATAGAGTAGTTTTATTTTGCATTTCTCTAATTGCTAGAGATGTTAAATATTTTTTCATATATTTGTTGATTGATTGTATATAACCTTCTGAGAAGTGTCTGTTCAGTTC